GGGGGCGGAACCCCGAGGTGTTGCCTTGTCACTTAGTTTTAAAATGTTTGTACGGAGGGTTCCTGACTTATGATTTTTCCACTTTGGGATAGTGCAAAAGTGATACCATTCAGTAGACACTGCACTTCCACGGGCTAGCGCTATGCAAGCTTGCTCCTGATGCCAGGCAGTTCTCAGCCACAGGATCAGGAAGGTAAACAGCGTATGCAATACGTTGCACTGTTGTTGTCAGCGTTTTTTGCATATTGTATTTTCGGATACCATCATGTTTATAAACACATCTGTGTCTTCTGCTCCTGGTGAAAAGAAGAGAGAGCCTTCGTGAAATGAAACTAAGATAATTGCTCAACTATAGGATAATGTGTGATCTGAGCACGTTGCAAGTAGGCTAGGTTATGATCGGTAGGTTGCGTGTAGTAATGCATTTTTGACCTACGATATTTTAAAATTATGGGATCATCGGGCTGTAAATCGAGGAGCATATACATATAGTGCATTCTCTTCTTTCCCAGCTACCACTACATCCTCAGGTAATTTTCAAATTTGTATTTTGGTCGACTTGGTCTTTAAATGTATAAGACCATTTCTTCCCAATCACTTCTGACCTCTGTGACAGAGGTGTCAAGGCATGCTTAAAAATAAGCCGTATTTTTTGCTTTTTCAACCTAGGCTGTGAACTGTGTCTTAATCTTCTGATTTTATTTAAGGTTTTAAGGGAGTTTGTTTTCCAAATTTCCTGGAGAACTGAGGAAATTCTTTATAGGCTCGATGTGAATTGGCCTAAGCATTCAGAGTACTTTACTGGAGCAACATTTTGTACTGCAGTTGACACCCTGAATGGACTGGTTTACATAGCCCAAGTAAGTAAAATTGGGATTTAAAAAAAAAAATACATGAACACAAAGGCAGCAGCCTGTTTTACTGTACTGTTACTATATATGTTTACATCATGCTAGTTATGGAATTTGCTTCTTGAATTGCTTTGAAGTGAATATATGACTTTGAATTTGATAGATATTAATAGTGTTCAGTTTTGAAGCTGGGTTTTTAAATTTTAAATGTTAGCTAAATTCCTCAATTAACCTTTAGTTTTTGCTTCTCTCTGCCAAAATAAAGATTACTTCCTTAAAATTGATCCTATCTAAGTGATTATTTTTGTATACCTTCAGAGAGGGGATAATATCCCAAAGGTATTAGTGTTCACAGAGGACGGTTATTTTCTACGAGCTTGGAATTCCACAGTTGACACACCTCATGGTATGTTTGCAACCAGTTCACTGGATGAACAAGCAATCTGGATCACGGATGTAGGAAGTGGTATGTATACTGGTATCACTAAATTATCTTGCTAGAAATTATATCTTTGCCCGTGTTCTTTCTTGTACGTTTTAAAGTCAGAGTTCCCAATCTAATTATACTTTCTTTAATGATTCATTAAATCACTTATTTTAAAAAATATATTGTTCTTAATGAAGAATTTAACAAGGAGGCTATCATTATTATGATCTTTCCTTTAACTTAAAAATAGTCTTTTTTTTAAAATTTATATTTTCATTTTTCAATTACAGTTTACTTTTTGTGTTATTTTTATATTGATTTCAGGTGTACAGCTTGGTGATTAGACAATCATATATATTAAAAATTGTTCACCCTGATATTTTCAGTACCCATCTGGCCCCATACATAGTATCACAATGTTATTGACTATATCCCTCTTCTGTATTCACTGTATTCCTCAAGACTATTTGCAACTACCAATTTGTACTTCTTAATTCCTTCACCTGTTTCACTCAGTCTCCCAATCCCTCTCCCTTCTTGCAATCACCGGTTTGGTTTCTGTGTCTATAAGTATTTCAGTTTTGTTTCTCCCTTTATTTTGTTCTTTAGAGTCCACATATAAGTGAAATCATATGGTATTTGTCTTTCTCTGACTGACTGATTTCACTGAGCATAATACCCTCTAGGTCCATTCATGCTGTCGCATAATAACCTCTAGGATTTCATTCTATTTTATGGCTGAGTAATATTTCATTGTATATATATATCACAGCTTTTTTATCCATTGGTCTATTGATGAGCATGTGGGTTGCTTTCATATCTTGGCTACCGTAAATAACTGCAATGAACATAGTGGTGCATATTTTTTTTGATTTAGTGTTTTGGGCCTCTTCAGATAAATAACCACAAGTAGAATCACTGTGTTATAAGGCAGTTCAATCTTTAATTTTTTGAGGAACCTCCATACTGTTTTCCATAGTGGCTGAACCAATCTGTATTCCCACCAACACTGCATGAGGGATGTCTTTTCTCCACATCCTCGACAACACTTATTGATTTATTGATGATAGCCATTCTAATGGGTGTGAAGTGATATCTCCTTGTGGTTTTAATTTGCATTTCTCTGATGATTAGTGACCTTAACCATATTGGCCATCTGTATGTCCTCTTTGGAGATGTGTCTGTTCTGGTCCTCTACCCATTTTTTAATTGGATTGTTTGTGTTCTTGGTGTTGAGTAGTATGAGTTCTTTATAAATTTTGGATAGTAACCTGTATTGGATATATCATTGGCAAATATCTTCCATTCAAAGTTGTCTTTTTCTTTTCTTGATAGTTGCCTTTGCTGTGCAAGAATTTTGTAGTTTAATGTAGTCCTATTTATTTATTTTTTTATTTCCCTTGCCTGAGGAGATGTATCAGAAAAAAATATTGCTAAGAGGAAGGTCTGAAATTTTACTACCTCATTTTTTCTGGGCGTTTTATGGGTTTTGAGGCTTACATAAGTCTTGAATTCATTTTTTATTTTATTTATCTTTATTGTTTAAAGTATTACAGGTGTCCCATTTTTTCCCCCAACTGACCCCCTCTACCTCGCTCCCACCCCTTCCCCAGGCCTTCATCCCGTCATTGTCTGTGTCTATGTGTTATGCATATATGCATATAACTTCTTTGGTTAATCTCTTCCCACCCTCCACCCCCCTTCATGCATCAATGTCTCTGGATCTATTTAGTTCATCAGATTCTTTTGTTCATTAGCTTCTTATTAAAGAAGACCCTTCAGTATTTCCTGTAGTGCTGGTCTGGTGGTGATGAACTCATTTAGCTTTTCCTTGTCTGAGAAGCTCTTTATCTGACCTTCAATTCTAAATGATAGCTTTGCTGGTTAGAGTAACCTTGGTTGTAGTTCCATATTTTTCATCACTTTGAATATTTCTTGCCACTCCCTTCTGGCCTGCAAGGTTTCTGTTGAGAAATCAGGTGACAGTCTTATCGGTGCTCCCTTGTAGGTAACTAATTGCTTTTCTCTTGCTGCTTTTAAGATTCTCTCTTTGTCTTTAACCTTTGGCATTTTAATTATGATGTCTCTTGCTGTGGGCCTCTTTGGGTTCCTCTTGTTTGGGATCCTCTGTGCTTCCTGGACTTGTAAGTCTATTTCTTTCCCCAGGTAGAGGAAGTTTTCTGTAATTATTTTTTCAAATAGGTTTTCAGTTTCTTGCTTTCTTTTTTCTCCTGGCACCCGAATAATACGAATGTTGGGCCTTTTGAAGTTGTCCCAGAGGCTCCTTATGCTATCTTCATAATTTTGAATTCTTTTTTCTTTTTGCTCTTCTGGTTGAGTGTTTTTTGTTTCTTCATGTTCCAAATTGCTGATTTGATTCTCAGCATCTTATACTCTACTGTTGATTACTTGTAAATTATTCTTCATTTCATTTCGTGTAGCATCGATTTTCTCAATTATTTTCGTCATACTCTTACTAATATCCTTGATCATCCTTATAACCATTATTCTGAACTCTGTATCTAGTAGCTTGCTTGGATTCATTTAATTTAGTTCTTTTTCTACAGATTTCTTCTGTTCTGTCCTTTGTGGCATGTTTCTTTGCCTCCACGTTTTGGCTGCTTCCAGGTGTTTGTTTCTATGTATTAGGTAGAGCTGCTATGTCTCCTGGAATTTGTAGAGTGGCTTTGTGTACTAGGTGTCCTGTAGGGTCCAGTGTGTCAGTCTCTGCAGTAACCTGAACTGGGCCTTCTAGGTGCTGCCCTGTGTGGGCTGTGTGCACTCTCCTGTTCTAGTTGAGCCTCAGTTGCTATTGGCATCACTGGGATGAATTGATATCCAGGCCAATCAGCTGTGAGGACCAGCTGCAACTACAGCTGACGAGCTGCTGTGCAGGACACACCCCTCTGGAGCAGGATTTACTTCAGTGGAGTTTTGATGTTCACCAAGTGCACCCCTTGAGTGTGTCACTTGTGGATGTGGTAGGGTTGTAATCAGCATGGTCGAGTCTGACCACCAGGTGCACTGTCTCTGAGGCCTCCTGGGAGGTGCAAAGTAAGCCTGTGCCAGGGCCTTGCCCAGGGCCACCCAGCCTGAGCTACATAGCAATCTATAGATGGCTGCTACTTGTGCTGGGCTTGGAGGTGTCCAGGAGAGGCCAAGCTATGAGCTAATGCAGGCTGCTGCTAGTGCCAGGCCCGGGGCCACTTATCAAGCCATATGGGGCATGCTGCTGCTTGTTTGAGAGATTTTAGGAAAGTCCTAAGCATAAGGCTGGAGAGGCCACTTGCATAGGAAAGCCACAGGAAATGGCCTGGATGAGCTTGCAGGTGGGGAGGGGCGGGGCCAAACGTGTGATTCAGGTGCTGGCGATTCAAATACGGTGCCTGCCTGCCAGCCGTGAGCGTAGAGAACTTGCCAAAGGAGTAGTACCCTCTGCCAGCCCCTCCACCCAGGAGAAAGCCGCCCCCACAGCTCTCGCCCTGATCGCAGGCAGGTTAGTTCCTCCCCAAGTGTCCCAGGTTCCTTTCAAGCTGCTGCCTGGCGCTGGGCTCAGACGAGCGTGTCTGAGTGAGTCCATGGGCGGGCCCTTTAAGAGGAGCTGCTGGGGCTCCCGCAGCCTCCGAAACCCTCAGAGACCGTCCCCTCGGGTTTCACAGCCCGGAGTTGTGGGGACATTTATTCCGGGCCCTGGAGCCCTGGGCTGGGGGCCTGCTGTGGGGCTGGGACCGCTCACTTCTCTGGAAACTCCCACCGCTGAGATTCCCTCCCCGGTTTCAACCGAGGCACCCGGTGTGGGCCTGAGGCCGTGTCTCCGTGATTCAGCCCCAATCTTCCCGTGTCTCTGCCCCTTCTACTGCTCTCTCTGCTCCTTCAGTTCCCTGGTTGTGGGGCTTCTGTTCAGCCAGATTTCAGAAGGCTCTGAGTGATGGTGGTTCTGTATTTTAGTTGTAATTTTGATGTGGTTGAGGGAGGCGGCAGGTGCAGCTGTTACCTACGCTGCCATCTTGTTTCCTCCTTGAATTCATTTTGTGTTTATTTTTGTATATAATGTAAGGTGGACTAGTTTCATTTTTTGCAGGTATTTGTCCATTTTTCCCAAAACTGTTTATTAAATACATTGCCTTTACCCCATTGTACGTTCTTGCGTCCTTTGTCAAATATTATTGACCATATAGGTGTGGGTTTATTTCTGGGCTCTTTATTCTGTTCCTTTGATTTATGTCTGTTTTTGTGCCATACTGTTTTGATTATTGTAGCCTTTGTAGTATAGTTTGATGTCAGGTAGTTTGATACCTCCATCATTCTTCTTAGGATTGCTGTGGCTATTCAAAGTCTTTTGTGGTTCCATGTAATTTTTGAATTATTTGTTCTAGTACTGTGAAGTACACCATTGGTATGTGGGTAGAAATTATGTTGAAATCTATAGATTGCTTTTGGGTAGGATGGATATTTTAGTGATGTTAATTCTTCTTATCTATGAGCATTCTATATGTTTCCATTTATTTGTACCTTTTTCAGTTTCCTTCTTTGTGTCTTATAATTTTCTGTGTACAGATCTTTTACCTCCTTGGTTAAATTTATTCCTAGATGTTTTATGGTTTTTGTTGCAATTGAAAAATGGGATTTTTTTTTCTTAGTTTCCCTTTCTTTTCTTTTTATTATTGGTGTATAAAAATGCAACCAACTTTTGAACATTTGTTGTATCCTGCTACTTTAATGAATTTATTAGTTCTAGTAGTTTTTGGGTGGGAACTTTAGGGTTCTCTATATACAATATCATGTCATCTGCAAATAATGACAGTTTTACTTCTTCCTTTCCAGTTTGGGTGCCTTTACCTTGTCTTGTTCCTGATCTTAAGTGAAATGCTTTTAGTTTTTTTTCTCATTGAGAATAGTGTTAGCTGTGGGTTTATCACAAACATATGGCCTTTGTTATGTTGAGATATATTCTTTTCCCACTTTGCTGAGAGTTGGTTGTTTTTTATCATAAATGGGTGCTGGGTTTTGTCTAATTCATATCTACATCTATTGGTATG